CATTGCCACATAAAACGTGGTGCTCAGTTGAGTGCTTTTGCCTGAGGAGGGACTTGTGTTGTTGCCTTTTTTTTTCTTTTCCTCCAGGAAATTCACTCAAGATCTGCTGCAGCAGCAAACCAGGAGCAGATGCTGTCATGTGGCTACAGCTGCAATGAATGGCTGCCAGTGTTTTCTGCTGTCCTGAGTCGTGGTGCCCTCTGAGGGGGGAGGATGCTGCAAGGACACCCCACCCAACACAGCTGGTTCCTCACACTGCACAAAACCAACCCCACCACGTTGCTTTACACCCATGTCTTTAAAATGTGCCTTTTTCAGTAAGCTCAGTAACACCCACAATGTGTTCAGTTCTCCCCTTTCTCAAGACTTTCCAGGAGGTTCACAGATGCTCAAGTGGGTGGGTACTCTGTGGGACCAGCTGGAGGGCAAGGATCCAAGGCCTCCATTTACCCTCTGAGTCCCTCTCAGCTATGGAAAAGCTGCTGAAAAAACTAGCAGAGGACCTAGTCAACAGAGGTTGTCTTTATTAACAGACCTGTCAGTGTCCCACTCCCCAGAGGAAGGAGCACATCTCAATCCCTCACAGCTCTTCTTCACCCCTTAAGACCCAATTTCCTCCCCATAGAATTGAGGGCAGAATCTGCTTGAATTTCATCCCAGTGTGACACCAGGGTACAAAGAGACCCACAGTGCCCTTGGCACTGCCACATGCCATAGGACAGAGCAAGGAGGCAATGGTGCCAGGGCAATGGTGGCCACCACCTTGCCAGCCTTCTCATCTCCAGGCACTGGCTGTGCAAGGACTCAAATGTCCCCTGTGGAGAAGCCTGAAAGCTTCAAAAGCTTCTTGCTGCCCCAAAATGTGATGAAACCTGTAGGGGGATAGAACATAAGTAAATGAAGGTGGTATAGAATGTAATCTCACCCCCCTAAGGAGTTGCAGCTGAGCCAATTATTAAGGATGAGGAGCAGGCCTGATGTTAACAGGCCACAGCTGTAGCCAGTCAGAAGAGTGTTATAAAAGAGTGGATTGGTTGGCTGAGGGGAACTGGAGTCAGTTGGGTGCTGTAAGAAGAAGGAGGAGGAGTCAGTGCCTAGAGGAGCTGCCTGCATGAAATATCAAGGAGGTATGAAACTCTAGCAATATGGAACCCTTGTAATGTAATGACAACAGAAACCCAGCAACCAAGAGATGCTGGAGCAGCAAAAAGTCTTCACTTTCATCACTGAATGGTTTCCCTTTAACTGCATGCTCAAATTTTCTCAGCCTTTTGAAAGCTTTACCTACAAAACCCCATGTGACTTTAATGCCCTGAATGACCAAGAGTTTGCTTAGAAAGGTGCAGTAAGAGAACCAACTTTGCATCCAGCTCACAGCACATCCTAGGGAATATTAACCAGGAGAACAGATTCATGCCTGCATTCCTGGACTGGACTCTGTTCCCTACTTTCCTTTCAGAGGGATTGCATCTTCTTCAGCTGCCAGTTTCAATGTCCACACATGTGCATGTCTTTTCCTTAAAAAATTAACAACCAGACATCATCTGACCTGTCTTGTGTCAACTACCATGTGGTTTATTGATCTTCCTCTGGGATTACTGTAAACTTGAGATTCTATAAAAATTTTAAAAATTTTTGGATATCAGATCACTTATTATCATGGAAACACAGAGGGAAACACTGAAGTACAAGTCAAGTATGGTTATCCAGGGGATAGGGGGGATCACATTTAATATTTCACTTTCTAGGTCCATGTATTTGGTCTACAGGAAGGGCTTAATGAGAGATGTAGTTAGGATTTTGTTACTCAGACATGTGGTGCACCTCATAAATGCAGAACTGTGGTATGCAAGAAATCTGCCTATTCACATTGTTTGTTATTTTATTAGTGCTCATATTTCAGCTTTGCAATTAGCCTGAACATCTGGCCAAATGAAATAGCAATTAAATGTATGAGGCTGGCTGGTCAAATACAGAGTGCTTAAAAATAAGTGCTGGTGAATACAGAGAGAAGTTCCTGTGTGTGGTTTGGTTTGATAAGCTGACTGGGAGGCCAGGAAAGTGTTTAATGGAGGCAATACCACCCTGTATGCATAGATAGCCTCTCCATGTGATTCCACTACACTAATTATATTCCAGTGCATGGATTCAACTATCTTTTTATTCTAATTAACATTTTTTTCCTTTTGATAAATTCAGGAAGGCTTTGTTGTGCTCTAATACACCCAAAATACAAGAAGCTATAGTTGACAACTGCTCTACTCATGAAACAACACTTTAGCTACATGTATTTTATTAAACAGTATTTAATCCAGTTTTATTTCTGTTTACTTCTGCTCTGAGACCCACCTTGCTGTTCCAGAGGAGCAGCTGCCCTGGTGCCCAAGGACTGGGAGTGAGTCCCTCCCAGAGTGTGAGATGGAGACCAGACTGCACCAATGCACTTCAGAACTGACGAGAGCTGTCACTTGTTAGCCCAAGCCACGTTTGAAACTCATCTTAGAAAATAAATATGCAGGCCAGAGACAAGCACTTCTTGCACTCACCAGGGCAGCCCTCGTGACAACTAAGCAGATAGAAATCATCATCAGAGTGGAAGCCAGGATGTGTTTCTGTGTGCTGATGAGCACAAGGGTCTCTCAGCAGAGGGTGGCACGCTTCAGAAGGCACTGGTGGTGTTGGTGGCAGAGCTGGGCTGTCCAGGATGTGGTGTCTGGTCTGCCCTGGCTGACCCTTGGAGGACACTGGCCTGTGGCTGCTCCCTCACATGCATGCAGCAGGCACATGCAGTGGGGACAGCCAGGAGATGGACCTCAGAAATATATTCCTGGTGGGAAGGGAGGGGCATCTGCTGCAAGCCTTGAGGAAGGCAATGCTTTGCCTGATTTGTTGAATAGTGAAGCAAGAACAGGGTTTGTGTAAGGTGAAATCAAATGTGGCCATGGTTACACATGAGTATCAATTATCAATCAATCAATTATCATCCAATTTTAAGCTGTGAAGGAATCCTCCTGTACATCCATTGGAGGCTAGGAACAGCAGGTAAGGAGACTCTCCTCACACACAATTCTTTAGTAAGTCAAAACCCACTGTCAGTGTGCTCTGCAATGCCCCATATCAATTTCTAGATACATCAAAATTAGGTCAGTTTTCTTTCTTAGGCTCTCAGACAAGTCCTAATTTTTCCTGATGACATCCCATAGATAACTGATACACACACCCCATACTCACCCCACCAACAGCCTTGCAAGAACAAGAAGAGGAGAGGAGCAAAGCCTGGCCCTTGCAGAAGGCTGTCCCAGAACAGAAGTGCACCAGGGCACTGCTCGGGGGCTGCTCACAGATTTGGGGGGCAGCACTGGGGCATCCCCTGTGTCCCTGTGCCACACAATGCCCTGAGCAGGGAAGGGAGGGAGGGATTAGTCCTTCACTCATCTCTCAGGGCCTCTTGCTACAGCCTGTCACCTCCCAGGTGCTTTCATGCCACGCAATTATTCCAGTGAAGGCAGAGACTGTTTATTTTGGTTTAAGGTTTTGCAGCTTGGTGCACAGCACAGCATATGAAAAGGTTTACTAACAAATACACCTCCACCTTTTTCCTGCTCTTTTGACCCCGGTTGTGATGAGTATTGCACTGAAAAATTGTCTCTGTTTCAAAAGGCTCAGTATAATCTGCTCATAAGCGTGCTGTCTCTTCATACTTTGGTCGGTAACAAATGACTGTGATTAAAAGAAAGGGTCTGGTGATCTGCCAGTAGTTCTGACAAGGAGAGCAGCAATAAAAAGCCATAAAGCCACAAAGGTTTCCAAAGGGCACAGTGTAAAAGACTTGCTACAAACCAAGCACAGCTCTGTAATGATCAGCCTAAATAGCTGTCCAATCATTGTTTAACACCTTTGTATCAAACAATTAGCTTAAGAAGCTGATTTGTTTTAATTAGCCAATCAATATTTTTCAGTATTGTTTCTGCTGATCCTGAATTTCTAACCTTCCCTAGACCTCCCTGAGTAACCCAGGAAGTTAAGCTTCATCTTATTTTTGCATTAACCTTTCAGCTGCCTTTAATTTTTATTATGATTATTATACTTATTTTAATTATTTCTTTCTATGGTAGCTGAAACTGAAGTGTGTTGGAAATGAAAGGTGGAAACAGCCAAGAAAGTTCAGCCAAAGTGGATGTGAGCAGGATTTAAAGCCCAGGCCTGGTCACATGCTGAAGAAGAGGAGGGTGATTACTTGGGCTCAAGGGGCTTCCACCATGCCATCAGTACACTGTGCTGTAAACTGCTTCCAGAACAACCAGACAAATCTGATTAATTCTATTTTTGATATGAAGTCAAAAGCTTAGGGTAGACATAGTCATCATTGTTTCTTAACTTCCAGCCAGTCTGGGGAATTATTTGGATGTAGGTACCTAGGGCACTGCACAGAAAGAGGTCTGAGAGGATAAGGAAAGTAGATTTAATGTCTCTTCATTCAGCACATGAAGGCATAAAACAGAATACTCCTCAGAGAAGGGATTAATGATTCTACTTGTTTTGTTTCATGATGAGCACTCAGAGAGGGAAGTGTTTTATGCAAATGTTGTCTCTTAATGTACCTGCCCCAGCAGCTGCTCTCCTGTTAGGTAAGTACACATAAAGATCAGACTGAATCCATACTAAAAAACAGTTTGAGAGTTTATTTTTTCTTGAACCTGGCATGAACTGGAATCTTTGTTCTGAAGTGTTTGTGGTGCCTGTGCTGGGCTCAGTTTTTTAAAATAAAGCCTTTCAGCTCCCTGGATAAAACCGCACAAAAAATTCACATACAGAAGCTAAAAGAAGACTATGTCAGTGAGAGTCAACAGAAACAGGAAATATTTGTGCTGGAGTTAGAGTCTACTGTCACTAATGCTTTACCAGACTGTAAAGGCTGGAAATTATGGTGCCTCAGAAATCCTAGAGCTGTAATTCTGGATGAGGAATTTTATGCTGAGCAAGACAAGCAAGGCAACACATTTAAAAACCCAACATATGAATAGTCCATTTATTAAAACAAAAGACTCTTCTACCATAAGGGGGTTACAAGAGAGATTAAAAGAAAATGAATGAAAATCAATCATAAGTAACAAATATCATTGCAGAGATATACTCCTGCTGAAAAAAGGTTCAAGTCTTTATACATGTTCTAGAAGGCAAATGAAGACCTTGACCATATCTCTCTGTCTCACACACTCTCTCACACAATGTCACAAGTTACAGGAAATGACATCGAGCCACCGAGCACAAACCTAATTCCAGAGTACACAATGATTCACACATTGATGTGGTTTTGTGAGTATTGACAATGTGAAAAGGTAGACCCAGGAAAAGTTAGATGCAGCTCTGCACATAGGAACTACCAGCCCTGGTAGATGGGAGAGCTTCTGGTTAATCTCTCGTCGCTGCTGGTGTTACCTTCAGACAACATGCTGATGGCCTCGTCCGTCTGCTGGCTGTCGGTTGTCGAGATCTTCTTGGAGTCATGGATGTTGCTTTGGTAGTTCACTGGTGAGGGATAGGTGTTTTCCCCCACTGTTGATGAGGACATAGATTCCCAGGGTATTTCTCTCTTTCTCCATTTCAGGTCCACTCTCCATCCTGTCCAGCCATAGAAAGCCAATGTGAAGAGAAAGCCCTGCATGGGATTAAGAACCCCCTGGGAAAGAGAAGGGCACCAGGAGTTACACCAGCAAGGAAGGCTTCATCCTCAACTCTAGCAAAATGATTTGCATGTATTAAAAACTTCCCTTTCACTGAATGATTGCTGACTTTAAAATACACTATTTGCACTCAAATAAAAATTTAGCCATCACAGACACAAGAGAAAAATACCATGACCTGTTTTCCAAAATGCTGAGGCCATAACAGTAAGCACAGAATGATTTTCTAGCATGAAGTTTAGCCAGTCAATCCCTTGGTGTGTTTTTAACTTTCCCCACAAGCTCTGGGCTTTTTTATTCACAAAAGCACATGTATTATTCATTACAAGCCAAATCAAATATATGAGAGGAGACACTAGCACGGACAGTCAAGCTTTTAAAAATAGCAGGAATTGATCTGTCTGGAATCGCTTTAGATTCCTGAGCCAGTGAAAATGTCCATCAAAGTGGGATGGAAAAATGGGGAGAGGCACTGAAAAAGAAAATCCCAAGTGATCACCAAAAAATTTGTCTCTGTTCCCAGTGCCATGAGAGGCTTAACAAATTAATGGCTTTAGATGCTTCTATTTTTTTCATAGGAAAAGACGGAAATTCTTTTTACAGCCATCCTAAAGCAGAGGTCAGTCCCCAGACTTGACCTCTTGCTCTCCAGGTGAGCATGAGCAAGGTCCCTGTCACATGAATGTGTTCACTCCTTGTCAGAGGAGGAGGTGTTATCACATCAGTTGCATCACTTAATCCTTCAATACCAAACTGCTCAAATGCTTAATTATACAAATCAGGTTCAGGCTCTATGTCTATTTAACAACTCCAGAATAAATTCTCTAGGAAAATGAACCTGCACAGTCACTGCTGAAAAATCCCTTGTCAAATATTCTAATAGGAGAAAGAGGCTACAGTAAGAGACCAGCATCTCACAGCTATTTTTGGTTCCTTGTGTGAAAGATTTTTCACCTATTTGTTCCCAATAATGGTTCAAATTTAATGACATAAGTTGCAATCATGCTTTGTAATAACAAAAAACCCACCCTACTTGCAAAGAGAGAATTTCCATGAAATGCCCATTTAATTGGGAAACCTTCAGGAACTGTGAGCTAAAACTTTGCAGCTTGCATTGAGGCAGAGTTTAGCAGGGTAAGGCTAGAAATCATTGTAGTTTTCTGTTGTAGATCTTAAAATGGGTAGTGATCTCTCACAGAGAGAATGCATACTCCAGTAAAAAGTTGGCCTCTAGGACATTTTTAGCAAAGTTTGCATGTGAAAAACCCTCCCATTGACTGTTCAGTCCTTTCTCTTACTTTCTGCTTTTCTTCCTTGATTTTCAGAGTGTTTATATCTCTCAAAACCATAAACCCCACACTATACAGGTGTTGTTCCACCAGTCTTACAACAGTGATTTCTAAGCCCAAATCATGTCCCAGCTGACCCACCATGATAATCCAGGTGATCAGTGCAGCACTCCTGATGTTTTTCAGGGGCATTTCATTGATATCTGGCTGCATTTCGAGGTAAAACAGAAGGGTCTCATTGATGATGTTGGATGACCAGCTATGGCAGGAGCAAAGAAGAAAAGGACAGTTACATATGGATGTGCATGTAAAACATGCAAATTATAGAAATTAAATTCTTCAAATTATAGAAATTAAAATCACTCTAAGGACAGTAAGATTGTTTTAATCATAGAATCATTAAGGGCAGAAAAGAACTCTAGGATGATCGAGTCCAAGATGGTTGGATTTCTTGTTAAATCTCAATCTGAAGGGACCCGTAGCTCTATGAGATCACAATCAAGGACCAGACACCTACCCACTCACCCAGGCCTAGACAATATAAATCAATATAAGAAAAAAAATCTGATAATTTTAACTTGCTGCAGAACAGTAAATTGCAGAATAAAATTAAGATCAGAAGGAAGTGTGATCCATAATGGGAATATCATGCATGCTGGCTTCTTTTGCTTGTGCCTTAGAAGAGTTGTGCTCACAGACAAGGAACTCAGTAATACCTGTTTCCAAATAAGGATGACATAATCAAGCCTCATTCATTGAAAGAAACTATGTTCTACACTAAATAGAGATTATAGGAAATGGCTGTAAGTTCCTATGACATCTGAACAGTGAGAGAAGCATTTCTTAATAGTTGTACTGCAGCTTCAGAACAGAAACCATCAGCATTCATGTCATACTTTCTAAGGGGTTTTATATTTGTCCTCTGCACAATTATATCTTTATCACAATGTAAAACCTCCTGATCTCCCCTCCCAAATCTGTAGGCATCTCTTCTATCCTGTTTTGCCCCAACCTGCTGTCTTTGACTAAAGCATTCCATATTTGACTTCTGGGATGAAAGGAAATCTTCCCTATGCTTCTGACATGAGATTGCCTCAGTCTTTCCCTCCAGTAACCTTTGAGAAAGTTTTTACACTCCAGACCTTATGTTTTATTAGAGCAAAATCCTAAACCAGAGCTGTGATTTTATTGTTTTATTAGGAAAGCCCAGAATGAGACAGAATGGAAATAAACAAATGTCCCCACAATATCCATGGGAAATTGGCCTTTCCTTTCATGCTTTTTCCCAGATAATCAAGCTGGCCACCATCCCTTAGGTTGCAATGCACTTCTGTGGTGCCTCTGGGCTCTTTCTTTCCACAGCCCTGGGAGCTTGGCTGGATCTCTGCTCCTTATTATTTCAGCAATTTCCAGGAAGCCATGCTGCAGGATCCCCTGCTGCTGTCTCACTCCCTCCTCTGCTGGCTACCCCACCCTTCACATTGGAAACTTCACTTCCAAGCCAAGAGCACTGTTATTCCCCCAAAAAGATAATCATTTCCTTTCAGAACACTCCAGTAGACAGCAGCCAAGAGAAGATAAAAGGGACAGCCTTTCTCCCTGCTCAGCCTGTTAAAGCAATGTAACATGCATTAATACACCTGTGTGTAAAGAAGATAAGTGGCATGTAGAGACTGCTAAGTTTGGCCTTCTCATTTCACTACTCCAGAACCAATTCTTGTTGTCCCATTCCTCTCCTCCCTATCTCTTTTCTGTCCTATGCCAAAGTACTATTTTCATGGGGAAAGATGAAATAAAAAAAAAAAAAAAGAAATAATGAGAAATTTCACACACAATCATATGGAGTTTTCTTTTCTGGCATTTCCTTATTTTCCAGTCAGCATACATGTGTTTTTCAGGCACTTGAAAACTGCAGAGCAGAGGTGGCTGCATTGTATGATCATGGTCAGAGCCATGAAGCCAGACTTAGAAACATCTTTATTGTAGGTCCTCAGTGATGTGTTTGGTGCCAAGAGGCTCTGACAAATGTTGGTTACAGAAAGTCATCTACCAGCCCATAGAGCTGGGAGCCTGCTCTACCAGACAGCTCCAGTTGATGCCCAATCTATTGGGAATTTTTTGCTATTGTTTCTTGTTGCTTTTGCTTTTCTGTTGGTTAAACATATTATCATTTCCTCACAGCCTCGTGAGTGATTCAGCTCCTTTGTGAGCTAGTTTAGAACTGCTTCTTCCTTAGATACCTTCCCTTCCAAGCATAAAGACAAACAAATGAAGCAACCCATCAGTCCTCACTCCTGTCCCTGACTCTCTCCCTCTGGGAAAAAGGCACTTTAAAACAAAATAATGCACCTCTTACCAAATGACAAATACCAGCATAATTTTGAAGAAGCGCATCTGGATCTCTGTCCCCAGACGTCTCTCGTTCTCTGTGTAAATTCCTTGTCTCCCTTTCAGTAAGGAGGCAACTGGAAAGTATACAATTATGTTCATTAATGTATGCACATCTTGTTAGTTTAGGCACAAAAATCCAGAAGATAGAGGCCTGAAAGAGGGAACAAAGGAATGGATGGATTTGTCTCCAGCAGCTGTTCAGAAGCTGGAAGGACCATTTTCAAGGAAATATAGCCTAATACTTAGGAAAATAATTACACACAGCTGGATTCCTAAAATGAAAGATACCCCACTATTTTTTTCCTCTCAATCCCACTGAAAATATGAAATAGTATGATCAACATAATTCTATTTCATAACAAAAGGTACCATGTACCTTCTGTATAATATGTGATATATGGTTATTATGTGATGTTTAAATAGAATCTTCTATCCTATTATGCACATTGTTTTTCCTTGTGTCGATGGTGCAGCATTAGCAACACCTTTGAAACATGAAGATGGATTGTCAGCAAAAAAAATTATGCTGCATGCTGTTCAGATATCACAAAGAATATAAAAATGCAAAAACAAATATACAAAGAACAACTTTTTATGGGAACGATTTCTTAAAAGAACAACTGCTTCTTTGAAAATGAGTATGGCTGAGGGACAGAGAATGAATGGGATAAAGATTGAACTGAGAATACTTTATTTTCTCCAGCTTTTTTATATAATCAATGTGTAGATGAATTCAGGTACTGCAAACATCCAACAATGATCATATTACATGCAAAGAATGCCTTGAATCTCTGACTTTTTTTCAGTCTCACTTCTTCCAAGCACTGGATAATAAATTGAACTGGAAGGTCAAGATCCCATCTGAGTTGTGTACAATTCCCATCTGTTTCATAATCTCAGAAGTGACAAAATTCTGATCACATTTTATTACATTTTTTGCTCTAGGGCTGCCAAGAAGTTAAATCAACTCTCAGATCTCACCAACTAGAATAAATTACATTTCAAAGTCGAGGCTGGTACCAAAACCCCAGTAGAGTTAAGCATCCAGAGTACATTGCCTCAAAAGCTTTAAATCAAGTAACATGGACACACATTTGCCCACCTGCAGTTAGAGGTTAATAACAGAAGAGATTTTGTGTCACCAGAATTTGTCTCTCGGGCAAATTCCCCATCAAAATGGTGTCTTCACTTCCATAGGCAACTGCTTCCCAGCCTTTGCTGTGTCTTTATGATTTAACAAGGAGCTGTCACACATCCCTGAGTACAAAGCCATGAATTTCTACAGTTTTATGTTGCTAAATAACACAGACTGATTTCTGCTGGCCATTAGGAACATACCTGCTGATACTGTCCTCCTAAACAGGATTGGGTTGGCCACAAGCACTAGCAGGAGGGGGACATAGGTTGTGATGTAATGTGGAATTGCATGTTCCAAGCCATTTTCACAGCTGAGAAGAAATCATTAAAAGATTATGCATTTTTTCCCCCCACAGCTCACTTTTCAGCCTATTCTATCTATGTCAGCCTTAACTTTGAAAAAAAAAAGAAGAATGAAGAAAACAGATGCAAAAAATTTAATTTATGGATCTTTACCACCAGTTCACATGGGACATAAAGTTGATTTTAAGCATGCACTGTCAGTGGGTTTTTCTCAAATTGAAAGGAAAGCTAAAGCCAGGAGTGGGAGAAGGGTGTCTGACAGAAGCTGTATCACAGCAAGCCCAAGTGCCTGGATTGCCTGGCATATTTCTTCAGGGTCCCCTGAAGCCCAGGCAGGTATTTCAAGCATAATCACTGAAAAGAATCAGTGGGACATCTTTGGCAAAGAACAAAATGCTCAGCTTTTCAATATCTGCCTCTAAAGCTGACCAAAAGACACCCAAATGACCAGAGAGTGCCCTGATTTCACAGTCTGTTTCCAGAAGCTGCTTACCTGGAGAGAGAGGGGTAGTAAAGCAGAGCAATCCCCTCCACACAGAGCAGCACTGCCAGGCCCCAGGTCATCATGTGGTACAGCACAATTGTACTGCAAGCACCAAGCACCACAGGCACAGTTAAAGATACCCAACATCACACTGCCCACATTGCAAAGTGGACCCTCACTGAAAAAGAGCTTTACAGACAGGAAATTGTGCAGAACACTGGCAATACATTAAACTAAGGAAAGCAGGTGGGTGGGGACAGTCCTTCATAAAAAGAATGAGCCAAAGCAGTTATTCAGGGTTGCACATGGAAGTCCTGTCCCCTCCAGCCTGTAGGGTGGAGGGAACAAGACTTCTTCCCTGCCCTGATTATTGAGAAGGAACCTCTGCATCTTTCATTTCTCCTGCAGACAGTAAATTAGCAGATTAAAATTTAAGAATGGAGATGAACAGTCAAATAAACCATCCTTTTGTAGAAAATATTTAACTTTCAGAGCTGGATACTGCTCCCATCTTAGGGAGATTCAGATCTGTGTTTGTAGAAAGTTTTTGGTGTTTACTCTGATCTCAGAATCAAGCCCAAATACACATGATTTTTTTTGTTAACAGGGATGGGGGAAGGAGGCAGAAGTCCCATAGTTCTAGTCCCAGCTGTTTGACTAGAACCATGGGACTTTAGACTGGATAAACTTGATTTTGTAATGTTAACTCAAAAAGCCTCATTTTGGTTACACCTGCAGAAGAACCATATCCTTAGTATCTGACTGCTCTGTATGATCTGGGAACAGAGTCACATAATTCCACTTTTATCAGCAGCAACTGAAGGTTATTTTGCTCTTCTAACAACCAACTTAGAAACTTTTTTTTCCCTGTTTGGCATTAAAGCATGGTACTTTCCAAAGTGTTTAGGCTCTTCTGTCACAGGCATTGCAGAAAAATATTTGCTAAATACATATTTTTCTTCTGAGGGATTTTAAAAGTGTGATCAGAAGGGCAATAATGACCACACTCACTGAGAAATTGATAAAATAAAATATCAGAGAAAAAGAAAAAAACTGGAATTAACTGTATGAAATGAGCTGTATGAAGTTCAGCATTTCCCCTCCAAATTCTCATTTTCTGTATAACACTATTTTTTTGCTGCAAAAATCAATTTCAGATGCAGGGTAGGGACAAAAATAGTCATCTCATTGCCATAAAGTTTATAGACTACAATTTGCTCCATATTTTTCCAGAGGTTACATGATTTTACATTTAAATCTAATTTGGACATAAGTCAGTATCTGAGCATTGCCCTGGCAATTTAAGCACTTAGAACACCAGACATCCCTACCATTACCTGGCAGCTATATGAGCATCAGATGGTTGTACAAGACTCACTTATACTCTTGGGCAGCTGCAAACAGAGACATACAGTGTTGGAGGGAAAAAAACAAATTCAGAGCTTTAACTCTGGTACCTCAGTCCAGCTGATCTTCTCACCACCAAGTAAGAATCAACAGCATAGCAAAACAACCACCAGAAGCCAGCACTATATAACAGCTGGATCCACATCTAGAGGGGAAAGAAGTGCCAAATGTCACAGCTGCTTCTCCAGTACCACTGGGGCAAGGAAGGGATTCAAACCTTGGCCTGCTGATTTGTTGTTGAAATGTGTGCATTTTACAGATGAGATTATGAAGTATGAACTCTTACTCAAAATCACAGGAACAGCATTGTTGCAGCCTATGGGTCAAGTTGTAGGTAAATTGAACAGTATTTGCTTTCACAGCTCATTTTCTGATTTAGAAAACCTTCATTTACCTCTCTCTTTCTAACCTGAACGTCGTAAGTGAAGCCCAAAGAAATTTCTAGCAAGGGTGCTTTAATTTTAGGTTAAAATTGCAGTTGTTTCTCAGTAGCTGAGGCATAAAAATATAACTGAGGTCAGTCATAACCACAGTGTGCCTATGCATTTGTGGGTTCTGCATGTGCTGGGTGTTTTCTCCATGCACAAGATGGTTATCAAGAGAAAAACTCATTAATGAGAAAATCACTCATGCTCTGGAAGAATACACCTACTGAACTCCCTGAGTGATTTCTTCAATAAAAATCCAAAGCAAACAGGTTCAAGTCAAGCCAAATTCCACAGCATTCTTGAGTTGACCCCATGCATTTTTCCCATGAGCTTATATAGGAAAAGTGACCTTTCTTTGCCACTGTGTATAAATTCCACATTTCTTCCCCATAGGAGCTGGCTCTTTGTAATAGTCTGGGAGTGTTTTAATATTCATGCTATCTTTCCTCCAAGCTGTCTCTCAGTTCTTATCTGAATATCCTTTATCACAGCTCCATAGTAGCATCGTTTTACATCTGGAAATCAACATACTTGTTACTAAGCCAAACATTGATGAATAGAGATCTAGCACTCCTTCCTCCAAAAGGCAAATCAAGCTGGGAAATATTTCCTTTCACCATGGGTGTAGACCCTACCTCTAGTAATTTGTGGCATGAATTATTCAGTATTTTATTCAAACATCATGATATTTTCCTAGTGCACAGGAGGCAGAAAATAAAATCCCAGTCTTCCTTCAAATGCACTTTACCCACAGAGCTCAGCATGTAACTTCATCATCACATGTACATATTTGCTGCAGTTGGAAAATGCACAATTTACTACCCATAAACACACATATACAAAAATAAACCGCAGTGTCTTTCCAGAAAATCCAAAATCCACAGAAAAAACTGCCTCCAAAAATAATATAAATCAGATGCACTTAAACCCTAAAGCTTCATATGATACCTTACTTTTTAGCTTGCTGCAGTGCCTGAAAGGGCACCCCTCTGCAAACCATTCAAGGGAGATGTCTGAAAGTTTCACTATTTGCAGTTTGTATAGGCTTGTGGTTAAGAGAAATAAAACAACAGTACTAAAAGAAAAATAAAATAGAATGGGAAACATTTTATTAACTCACATGAGAATACATTAGGGGAAATGAGTGGAAGAAGGGTTATTTTTCATTCCAATAGAGTTGAATCTAAATTTAAAATGACTCAAATTACAGCATTTTCCTGGAGTACAAGTAAGGGAAAATAAAAATTCTGGTAGACCACTATGCTGCTCACCATCTAACCTGAAATTCAAATGAAAAACAGTCTGCATATGGTACCCTGTCATGTTTAAAAATACATTTTTATGTGTTATGGGCCAGAAAGTGAAACATGAGGAGGAATGGGTTTTGAGTAGGACATTCTTGCTGCACGATATTGAGATTGTTGGTTCTTTCTCAATGAAAAAAACAACAGCATTTGCATCTAATAAGCAAAACTTAAAGATGTGTGATAGAATTGAGAATTGATAGATGTATACAATTTATATTTGTCTCCATGGCACAAAACTATCCTGTTTGAAGCTGCTTTTATATAGGAATATAAAGCACAGCGAGTTCAATTTGGCACACATTGCTTTCTTTTAAAGCTACTGAAGCTGAAGAATTTTCTTTACATGCAATCTATCCCCTTCCACATTGTAAACTTTGAACTGCAAAGCTAATACTGCTATTGCTCATGCATTAATTCAGTGGAGATCCCACATGCCTATTGCATCTGTGTGAAGTGATGATCTATCTTACTTGTCATTGTCAATGTTTTGGTCAAAATTGTGACCTTTATTCTTGTACAGTAAGCTCAAATTCTATTTCTCAGTGGTTTTATTATAAAATTTGGAACTGAGTTTCAATGTGTACTTTTGGAATGCATTTACATTTTCTTATTCTTGCATTTTAATCCAGAAGATACTTAATTAGACTTGGGCAGATGCAGTCATTGAGATGCAGCCCAGCAATCTGAGCTGAAATCCCACATGGCAGGGACAGACTTTCTGCCAGCAGATTTGTGGCTATGAGTATATTTCTCCTGCTGTCTAAAACACACACTCTCATGCCACAAAAGCTAATTTGAGCTACCCAAGTTGCTGGTTTCAGGAGGTCCTTGCTGCACCACACAGGCTGCAGTTTCTGACAGAGAAGACAGACAGAAAACCTCGCACTGCCAGTGCAACAGAGCCACTGGGGCATTGGTGGTGCTGTGCCAGCACAAACCCAAACAATGCTTCACAGCCCTTTTGGGGCTGCTTGTATCCTTTTGGTTCCACACCCCTGACTTTGGCATACTCCACTCCCCTGGTACTCCTGGAGGAGTGAACACCTCAGAACTCGTGGGATCAGTGTGACCCAGCTGCCCTAAATCCCTGCCCACCATGCAGCCCCATCAGCACCCTGCCTGCCCTGACCCAGGCTCACAGAGGGAGGCATGAATGCACTTGCAGGGGTGGGGCAGAGGCTGAAACTCTCATATCCAGGCTCTGACTCACAGCCACATTTCCTTTTGGACACAGCAGTTTTCCTTTCAGATCCCCCCGTGGAAGGGCCCACAATTGGGAGCAGAAGAAAGGGGGGATGAGCTGGGTACCTACCGCGCTCCCCACACAGAAAGTGGAAGGCCACACGTCAGTCCCGTTCACCACAGAAATGTTGGCTATGAAGCCTGGGAAGCCCAGCCATACACTTGACCTGAAGATCATACCTAAAGAAAAAGAAATGCATTAATGCTTTGAATCTGCTGGTGTGATTTGAGTCACATGCTTTTCCCTGGCCACATATTTCACATGGCAGCCCAGATTTTGTGTGTCTACAGGAAGGCGACGGCTGCAGAGGAGCACAGCAGGGACAACTGTGCTATTTAAATGTCAGTGGGATCATTCAGGGAAAGTAGCCCCAAGAGCTGGAAGCTGCTGGGACTTAAAAGTTACAGAGATTAGGATCTCACTTGGAGATGGTGTCACATGCTTCCCTAACATAAACTGGATAGCATTTAACATAAACACTAAATAACTGTTTACCAGCATAGATTCATACACTGATATTCGCTACTCTATAAAACCCCCCACTGCAGAAAAGAGTTATTTTTCATTTTTCTCTGCCTTCATTTTACAAGCAGCTCTTTTCCTCTGTCACAGGACTGAGAAAAAGCAGCACTTCTGAATTAACAACAAGGCTCTTTTAAAAAATGAACTTAGACTTTGTTAGTAAGATTTTCTGGGTTTGCTTGAAATAAAGCACCAACAGGAAACAGAACAAATTGACCAGGTTTCCCACCAAGAATGAACTGTATTAGACTCATCCACTGAAGTGAGTCTAATACAAAAACAACAACGGATTTGAGTTTGAGGTTGCCAGTGAAAGAGGAAGAGAGAAAAATGACTTTGTCTATTGTTGGCTTCATCTGACTGAAAGGACCTTTTCCAGGTGCATGGCCATATGTATTTTCCATATCTCTTTCTTTACTTCCTTTATAATTGGTTTAGTATTGGTACTTATTAGGTACTGTGAGAGAACCTGGCTGGGTTTGAAAGGGGAAGAGAAATGAAACACAAAGACACACAGACACTCAGATACACAGACTCACACACAGCCCCCAGCAGTGAGACAAAACACCACTACTTCTATTACCTAATGTGAGGGGGGAAAATGCTACTGTAGAAACAAACTTGTCCTGTATTTTCATAGCACATGTCATGATAATTTATACCTAATTTGACAGTAAATGACTGATGGGAAAAATTACCAAATGACTGATGGGACAGCTTAACACATGCTAGTTTTATTTTAACTCATGCATTCTGTTTTAGTCTCCACTGGTTTATTCCTCCAGACTATCCACCAGGGTCTGGGCAGCAGGTTGTCCTTGATAAGGTAGCTTTACTCACATTTCAAAAGCCTGTGTCCAGCATGATCTGTGTGCAGCTGCAAGTCAAACTCATTTTCTGTCAATGTGATGTGCCCAGAGAAGCAGCTGGCACATGAGCAAGGGGCACACTTGGTCCACAAGGATTTGAGGGCATAGAGGACAGTGGTTTTCAAATGCAGTCCTATGGATTGTCTAAATGTTTGATGTCAGATTTATTTTCCAATGTGCTGCTTCACCTCCACTTTTATGCCTTACTCTGAGAAGCAGTTGCCATTCTAGATTTTAATTTGTTTTAAAGCAGAGATTTTGGTGTAGATTTGTCAGGAGCTTTCACTTCCACAGTATAACTTAAACAAGAACCTTCTCCCCAAGGAGCCATAATTTCCTGATCTCACTTAGTCCAAATTTTCCTGTGAACACAAATAGCATGCTTCCCTCAGAAATCTCTGCTGTCCACTCACCAGCTTCTGAGGTCAGTGGTACCTCAGAGCAAAAAGAACCTGTTACAGCCATGGCAAGGACATCAAGCTGGCACTTACCTACGCCTCCGAGGATGTCACAAATGGAGATAAGGAGAAGGATGGTGGAGGAGGAGGAGGCTTTGGGCATCTTCCGTGGGCTCTGTCCCTTCTTTGGCAGGAGCTGCAGGATGGTCAGTAGCAGGCTGATGGAGGCACTGCCAATGCAGACTCCACAGAAGACTTCAGGCTGGAAGTTCATCACCAGCTGTGTAGCTGCATCCCTGTTTGGGCAGCAGTAGGTTTCTAACCTTGGAGAAGCCATGAAACCTACGACTGGTGGAGGGGCCCCAGGAGCAGAAGAAAATGCTGTTGCTTCCCCAAGGCAGCATTCACTTTTTCTTCACCCTCCCCATTAGTCCTCGGTGGTGAGAATCACGCGATTGATGGATCATGTGCTGCTGCTGCTGCTGCTGCTGCTGGAAGTAAATCCCCTAGAGCTGCCTTTCTCAGCCTCTCTTAGCAAGGAGATCATATCCCAACAAGAAACCACAGCATAATCTGAAACATGCCCCATGCTCGCTCAGAGCCATTGGCAGCAGTTCACTCACATATTTCTGCTTGCACAGTGATACAGGAAGACTTAAACTCGTCAGAGCATTGAAGATGGTTTAAAATAAATAAGGATGCAGATACCAAAGTGGAAGCATTACATTTTAATTGTGTTTCTCTTTAGCCCCATCCCACACAGCACCCTTTAATTACCTCAAATTAATTGAAAAGATGAGTCCAGACACAAGCAGTCCCAGTCTTTACATGGAAGAGCGGGGATATAAATCCACACCCTAACCCAAATCTCAGTTTTAGTGATCCAACCCACCCATCTCTGTAAATAAAATCAGAAGCACAATACCCTATCACTGTAGAAAGAGATTACACTTGGAAGAAAATATTAACCTCATCCTGTTTAAATTGCAAGCACAAAAAATCCTTTCTTTAGTCAGTACTGTCTGCATTAGATCAGCTTGACAGGGAAAATTCCAGGACTTAGGATTTCTCAATAACATATTTCTCTGTCTCGCTCTCTCTTTTTTTTTTTTAATTTGGTAAGGATTTAATATGAAAACAGGAACTTGACCTGCAATATTTGGTTTTCCTTGGTAAGTTTGACAATATCTTTTATGACAGGGGGCCTGCGAGATACAGCAGCAAATAAATACAAACAGAAACACAAAAAGTAATTCTTCCCTTTAAACTAAGTCTCAAACTCCCTGTATCAGCTCTCACCCTTCCAGAAAATTTGTTTATAGGGACACATTCAGGAAATACAGGAGGGAACATTGCCAAAAGTCATCAGCATGTTAAATAACACAGTCATGGATTCTATAATTTGTTCTTATAGGGATAAGAACAAATGACCTAACCTTTTTTTTTTCCCAATGATCTGGCTTATTTTTTTGGCAGAAATTTGAGGTGCTACTGAATGACAGTGGAATGTTTTGTGTGTAGTGTTTATGAAGACAGGTGAGTGAGCTGGATGTTGCAATCCTACAATTTGTTGCTACCGTGCATACAAAAACATACTGGGGACAGCAAGGTGGCAAAATCAGATTGCTCTGCTCCAGAAATATAAACTCATGCTGAGGTTGTCAATACAAGACTCTGTCATCAGTACAAGTCTGGGACTCCTCAGGCTTTATTCCACCTCTGCTAGAGCAGTGGGGCATGGAGTTGCCACATTTCTGTCAAGAAACTACATTGAAACCTACCTGGCTACTAAAGAACAAAGGAATTACAGTCCACAGAGACAAATGATTAGTTAAAATTAAACCATCATATGCTACATATACAATTCAAAGACATATAAATGAAAAAAAGTTTGCTCTAATTTGAAGGAAAATTTATATTGCTTGGCTATACTTAGAAGAGAAAAACTATGAAATTTTAGAGAGAAACTGTTTAATAGAAGATTTTCATTCCCACTATCAGTTTCTAAAATTGTTCCCTTTGCTATTTCTGTAGCCATTTTCTTTCTTTCAAAAATTTGAAAAGCATGTCAAGTCATTATCCTGATTGTTTGTTCTGGCTTACAGATAGGAATGTTTTCTGTATTTTGCTTTTTCTGCTTATTGTTTGTTTTCATTGATCTTGACTGTGATCTTCTACTCTGCCCATGTGGATTTACCATTTTATTATTATAACTTCTCTCTCCTTTTTTTTTTCAGCCACTTTGAAACTACTTTCATTCCTCAATTGTACTCCTATACCCTGGAGATTAATTTTTTTATATGTCCCTTCTTTTCTTGCCACAGTTTTACCAGCTGTGCCCACTCCTTTTATTCCTTTACTCTACTCCTCTGAGTGGAGCATTGGTTTTTAACCTCCTCTCCTGAGTTCCTTCCCTCCTGTAATTTCTCAGGACTTGATTTCATAGTTTCTTCAGAGGGAGTATGTGGTTTTTATTGGAAGCAAAGCACATGACCTGTAGCATACTTAATGCAAAAAGGAAAATTAAGTGACCCATGAATGAACTGATACTAACCATGATAGAAGTAGAGGTGTCTAAAATATGCCAACATTTGAGGCTGAGTGGGAGATGCATCTACCAAATTAATGAGCCATGCAACACCTCAGCTGGTAAGAGCTAGCTAGTCTCTGGTTCTCATTGCTGGGCTCAAAGTATAGAGAGTTAGAACAGTCAAAGAAATTCAAAACTGGTTTGGCAGTCATACTCAAGATTAATTTGGCTTCTTGTGAATATGAAAATAAGAAGATAAAAGGTGGGGACAAAAGCAAAGGAAGCAGAAAAGTAGTGAAACAAATAAGAGAATACTGATTTTGTCTTGTTAAGGACCTTTATTTAGTATTCTACAAAACTTGCATCGTTCTACAGGTCCTAATTCCCTACTCTCTGAAGTTATTGACACAATTCCTGTTGCATCAGCCAGTGTACAAGACAGGCAGACATGGTATGTCTCATTTCTGCACCAAGACAGGATCTCAACTAAGCAAATGATGTAGCTTGGAGACAACCATTAGCACACATACAAGAAACACTAAAAATAAACCCCTCCTGGCATTGCAAACAGCAATCAATCACACTCACAGCACAAGTACAACATTGCACAACATTGCATAGCACTGAAAATTCCAGTCACGATTTTGGACATTGGCAACAGTGTGCTTAACAAGACTGTGTTCCTTTGGAAACAGCTATGTGCTCCATACTTTTAGAAATACCTACTCACTCTCTTCTTGGACCCAGAACACAGCCTTTCATCCCAGTCTGTGACCAGTTAAGATGAAACACTGGCTTGCCTGCTTCGAAGGGAAAGCAACAGGTTTACAAAAATATGACAGGCATGCACTTGAGTTGTTAAGGAGTGTGGGTATGGCTTATGTTTGAGTGTGCAGCTGCACATACTTTAATCACTGTTTTAATTAAATTTGGGACTACAGCACTGGTTTACAAAGGAAAAGGAAATTTGTGGAAATAGAGACAGAGGATAGCTTAGTTTTGCTTATGTGTACAGTTCAGTGCACCACTGCCTGACAGTGAAGATCTTAGCCACCTCACAAATGTAAAAGCTATACTTTGTCAAAGTTCAGGATCTCATTGTCTTTTACACATTACCTGACATAACATTTCCCAAACTGAAGAAAGCTAGGTCTGTCTTCAAGCTCAATGGATGCAGTTATGATCTCTGCAACAGATCCTGCAAAATGTTCCTTAAACAAATCTTCCACATGCTTTAGCACCATTCTTTATTTTATCTACCCAGACCTCCTGCAATTAGATTTAATTTGGAAAAAACTGTGAGACATGTTCATCCCATAATTAGCTGTACTAGTTTTTAAAATGTAACTTTAAACCTTTAACTTAATGCATAACTGAAATGAATGGATAAATTCACACTCCATTCTTGCTATTTCTAGTTTTCTGTAAAATTAGGGATCTTGGAACAATAGTGATACTCAAGGTGTAATGTTTTATAACAGATTATAACAGCTACTGCCTCCATTAAAAACTCCTGAAAGAAAAACCGAGGAATCGCTTTCCTTCCCTCTGTCTTTTAAATACAATTATAGAATTGTAAAATAATAATTTACTTTTAAGGATGGTGAATATTAATTTCAAAGGCTGAGGATAAATGTATCTCATTTGAATAAAGGTAATAATATTTGAGTTCTTTTTGTTTTCTCAAAGAATAAAAACATAAATATATCAAATGAGTGTGCACTTGAGCATCTAAATACCTGTGTGTATTTGACTGATGCAATCAAAAGACTTACTACATACCTTCTCCAGGGAAATGTTATCTTATCTGGCTTTTGTGAAGAAACACACACAAATTAGTTTTTTAAACTGTACCCCTAATGTATTTAAATTAGCAAACAAGATTTATACAGATGAGGTACAAAATTACTGAGTAGAAAAATTTGTCCATAAAACTGAAGAAAACTATTTTTGCTTAGGGATTGGAAGACAAAAATCCCTAATTCCCTAGGCCAATGCTGAGAATATTACAGTCCTTGAGCTTGCCTTGAGATGGATTTTTGTGGCCAGCCTCATTTCTCAATGAATTCCACCTTTAGTCATTGTCATTGTTACATTATTTCACAGAACAAAAAGATATCCCAGTTTCAGCACATGTGTAATAAAGAGACTTTGTCCCACACCTATGCACACTACAAGATACAGTTTGAACAGGAACTGACAGATGAAGAAGACTGTAAAAAGAAAGACTATTATCTCCCACACACTATGATACTGAAAATTGGATAGTAATGTTTGTAGGCATGTACCCCAACCTACAAAAGTTGAATGTCTATCCTGTCCTCAGTGTCTTCCAAAGGAAGAATTTCCCTCAGGAGAAATTAGGTAGGACACTCTTATATCCTTGATACAATTGCTAGATGGTTGGATCTTGTTAGATTACATCTCCCATCACCCAGCATTTATATTCTCAAAGCCCATTAGCACAAAAAACTTCTCTTATAAAACCTGTGTCCTCAGCCCAGTCTATGTAATCTAATCAAAATATACTTCAGCACTAACTTCACTGCTCTTACAGTGCAAGAACTCTCCAAGGCTCTATTGAATTGATAAAAATCTCAGTGTACCATAACCAGTTAGATGGTCTTGTTGTACACTGTAAACAAGTGTAACTGAAGGGAAATCAGACAAAATGTACAGTCCAGGTCCAGACCACAGACACCAGACAATGTTCCTCTTAGAAACCCCATGAGCTTCACTAGGATTTTAACTCTGCAGTGGTTGCATGGCCAGCAGTCAGACCTGCAGCATCCTGTGAATGGGTGAAG